TAGTAATTTATTGCCTCGAGAGATGAGCAAAGAAAAGACATCACCAAGATGATGTCTATGAATAGCCAGGGAAATGGTGAAGCACGAGGAAATCGCTTACTGTTCACCTACGCCTGACAGCAGGATCCTTTGTCCTCCCTGGGTTTCTAACCTGTGTCTTCCTAAAGCAAGATCAAGTGATTGTTGAAGAGATCAGGAGATGCTCCTGCTACCGGAGACTCGGGTGCAAATAACTTGTAGGATACTGGCTCCCACTGAGAGGAAACAGACCTCGGGGAGGTTCCTCCATGACACATGTCAGGAGTGCTTTGGGAGCCCCCTCTGCAGGCTGGGATCAGGCCTTTTGCTTGTGGCTTAATGGACCATTTGTGACATCCACGGACCCCTTCTCCACATTTCCACTTGGAGAAAACAACTAAAGTTTAAAAAAAAAAAAAGAGCCATGCTCCCAAGGAGCTTATGATCACCACATGCTTTAGCAGCCACATCTATCCTGAAGCAAGATGTGGGACAGGGCAACTGCCATGAGCTTCTGTCCTTCCTTTGACAGGATTTGGAAAAAATGCACCAAGACACCTGTCTTCCATCTGTTAGGAATTTGTAATGCATTAATTATGCAGTTACTGACCTTTGCTAGGAAAGGTATTTCTGTGATTAAAATACAAATAGACAACAGGGGCCACTCTGCAGGATCCCCGCCGCCCTCTCACCCCACCTGCCCCTTCCCCCAGGTATGAGGCCACGGTGCAGTAGGGCTGGGTATGCACTAGCCCTGTTGAGAGTGTAGGGGAGCCTTCTGTCTGCTTTTTACTTTGTCACTTAACCAATGTTTGTGGAGCATTTCAAGTGATCCAGCCTCTATGCTAAGCTGAGCAGAGAGATAAATAAGCCTCTGCCAAGGTACCATCGAATGTGACAGTGGGTGGTAACTACAGAGATAAATACAATATAAGGGATTCCATTCTCAGTGTCTGAGTTTGGGACTATATATATATATATATATATATTAACCAGGAATAGGATTAGGGTGAGATGAATGAGACAGAGAAGTATAAGTATGGGCTAGGATCCTCTTTGATTTAAAATATTAATGTCTGTTCACCAGGAATTTTTTTTTTCTGGTACCAAGGATTAAGTGGAGGAGCATTTAACCATTGAGCCACATCCCCAGGCGCATATATATATATATTTTTTATTTTTTATTTTTTTAGAGACAGGGTCTCACTAGGTTGCTTAGGGACTCACTAAATTACTGAGGTTGGCTTTGAACTTGCAATCCTTCTGCTCAGCCTCCTTGGAGGGCTGGGATTACAGGCATATGCCACGATACCTGGCAAGAATTTTTTTTAAATCAAGGATTTTTTTTTTTTTTAATTCTCAGATTTTAAAAATCTAAGTTGCTGAGGCTGACCTTGAACTTGTGATTCTCCTGCCCTACAGGGACCTCCTGAGTCTGAGTTTACAGGTGTGCAGTGCCATACGTGGTCTTCAATGATTTTTTTTTTTTTTT